AAGGCTCCAAGACTGCCGAAGAGGCGCCCAGCACAGCCCCAGACCACCCCAGAACAGGCCCAGAATGGGCCCAAGAGCGGGAACAGGAGGCTTCCAGAGACCTCCGAGAGGCCTCCGGGACCCCCCAGAGGCCCCCCCCCTAACACACACCCCATCCTTGAGAGGCACCAAAGAGACCCCGACGAAACTCCAAGAACAACCCAAGAGAGCTGCGAGAGCCGTCCCGAGAGAGCCCAAAGAGCGTAACATCGTTGATGTCCAATGGTTTTTCCTATGTTTTCCGCCTGCTCACGTTTTCCCGCTTCCAGCCCTCAAAGATCGAGGATTTGGGAAAAAAAGAAAAGGAATTCCAATAATTCCTTTTGTTCATCAAAGTGGAACTCCTACTCGAGGGTCCTACATATCCCCTGACATCTGGCCGGTACCGCGCCTCCCGGCTTCTTAACTTTTTCGCGGAGTCTCCCAAATGCCCTGGGTGGTGGGTCAGAGGCCTCATGGGTGTTGGTTTGGATCTCGTGGTTGGCCTGCCGGGGACGTCGTGAAGGCAATTTCGCAGCTGCTCGGTCGCCGTTTTGGGACCGTTGTGGGGCCTCCTCGGGGCTGTTTTGTGACCTCTTCAGGCCTCGTTTGGGCCTCCTGGGTGCCTCTTGGGGGCCTCCTGGGGCCTCTTGGGGGCTCCTTGGGGCCTCCTGGGGCACTCTTCAAGCGGGAGGGTCGAATTTTGGAGTCGTGGCCCCCCTCTTGGGCGCATCTTGGGGCTCTGTTGGGCTGTCTTGGGCGACTCTGGGGCCGTCTTGGGGCCCTTTTGGGGCTCTCTTGGGGGCCTATTGAGCCGTCTTGGAACGTCGGACAGCCGAAAAGGCTGGAAGGCCCAAATCGTTCGAGAACCTAGTAAAATTGACGATTTCGGCCTCTCGAAGCGCTCTGGAGAGGCGTCTTGAAGCGTCGCGGAGTGCCTTGGGGGGCCTCTCGGGCCGTCTTGGGCCTATCTTGGGCGTCCTGGAGCGGTCTTTCGGCGACTCGGGGCCCGCTTGGGCCGTTTTGGGAGCCTCTGGAGGCCCTCCTGGACTATTTTGGACCTCCCCGGCCGCCCCGTCCTCCCTTGGGGGTTGGAGGCGGCGGCATCCGAGGCCCAGGACGCGGAAACCCTATAAAAAAACATAAGGGAAAATGAGCCCCAGTCCCCCCATGGAGGGTCGGGGCAACTGTTTTCGGGCCCCGGGCCTGTTCCTCCGGGGAATATATATATATCTATATATAAATTCTATAATATATTATATATATATATATATATTTATCTATATATATAATATATTATATACATATATAATATATACTGGAACCACGCGCGCGCTGCGCGCGCGCTTAGGTTCTAGCTTCGTCCGGGGCAACGGCCAAACGACGGACGAGGAGATTGAAGGCTGAATGCACTTCGGTTATTCGTCGAGTTTCGCGGTCGTGGTTCGAAAAGCTTTTGGGCGCTCCTCGCCCCCAGGCGGCCCGAGGCGGCCGAAAACGACACCTCTTCCTCGTCCTCCTCTTTCCCCCTGCTCTTGCTCTTCTCCTCCTACTCTTCCTCCTCCCCCCATCGTCCCCTCCTTTTCCCCCTTCCTCCTCCTCCGCCCCCTTCCTCCCCTCATCCTCCTTTTCCTCCTCTTCCTCCTCCTCCTCCTCCTCCTCCTCCTCTCCTCCGCCTCCTCCTCCTTCTTCCTTCTACTTTCCCCACTCCTCCCCTCCTCTATTTTCCTCCTCCTCCTCCTCCACACCCCCTCCTCCTCATCCTCATCCTCTCCTCCTCCTCCTCCTCGCTCCTCGTCCTCTCCTCGTTCATCATCATCATTTCATTTCATTCACCATCATCATCATAATCCCATCATCATCATCATCATCGTCATCATATCATAATCACCATCACCATTCATCATTTATCATGTTCCTCCTCCTCCTCCTGCTCCTCCTCCTCCTCTCCTCTCCCTTCCTCCTTCCCTCCTCCTCCTCTTCCTCCTCCTCCTCCTCCGCCTCCTCCTCGTCCGCGTCCTCGTCCTCCTCCTCTCACTCCTCCTTCTCCTACCCCTTCTTCTCCTCCTGTTCAGACTACATGGCTCGCCAAACGGCACTACGACGCAGCGCATGCATTGGGCCACATCGGATAAAACGGAACACTCGGGGGAGGCCTCCCTCTTCCTCTTCCTCCTCCTTTTCTCCTCTTCCTCCCTCCTCCTCCTCCGCGTCCTCCTCCCCGTCCTTCTCTCCTCCTCCTCCCCCTCCTCCTCCTTCCCCTCCTCCTCCTCCTCCTCCTCCTTCCTCCTCCTCCTCCTCCTCCCCTCTCCTCTTCATCCTCCTCCTCCCTCCTCCCCCCTCCTCCTCTTCCTCCTCCTCCCCCCCCCCCTCCTCCTCCCCATTCATCACCATCATGATCATCATCATCACCATCATCATCATCATCACCATCGCCATTGTCATCAGCCGCATCATTATCATCATCCCTCTTCCCTCCTCCTCCCCCCGTCCCCCTTCTCTCTCCACCCCCCTCCTCCCCCCCTCGTCGTCGTCCTCGTCCTCCTCCTCCTCCATCTCCTCTTCCTCCTTTCCTCTTCCTCCTCCTCTTCCAACTCCTCCGCGTGCGAGAAATTCAACAACATGTCGCGGAAATCAACGAACTGTGCCCGTCCGGGTTTTTCCGAAAGTCCTTTTAGGACTTGTCGGGACCGTTTTAGGGCCCCCTTGGGCGCCCTGGGAACCCGGAAATCATGTTCCGATAGAGGCTTCGGGGAACATGATTTCGGACGCTGCGGAAGAGGCTTCCCGAGAATCTCTATAGGCTGCCCGTTGTGGCTCTGTTGGGTGCCTTTTGGGGCTCTCTTGGGAAGGCTTGTAGCTCTCATGGGTCATCTTGGGTCCCTCTGGGGCCGTCTTGGGGCTCCTCGGGGTGGCACTGCGAAGACGTCGTCGTCGTCGCCGTTCGCCGATCGGTGGCGTCAACTGTTGTCATCGTCGTCCATCGTCGTCGTCGTCGTCGTCGGTCGTCGCCGTCGACGACCGTCGTCGTCATCGTCAATCACCGTCGCCGATCGCCGTCGCCGATCGTCGATCGGCCCCGAGCCCTCCCGCCCACTCATCCTCCTCTCCTCCTCCTCCTCCTCCTCCTCCTCCTCCTCCAAATCTGCCTCCTCTTCCTCTTCCTCCTCCTCCTCCTCCTCCTGAAATCATGTTCCCGGAGACGCTTCCAGGGGCAGGGTTTCGAGCGATGCAGAAAAGACTGGGTCCAGGGTGGCTCTGCGCACGCGGACAGCGTCGCCGCCGTCGGCGTGGCCGTCGTCGTCGTCGTCGCCGTCGTTCGTCGATCGCCGACGTCGACTGTTGTCATCGTCGTCTATCGTCGTCGTCGTCGGTCGTCAACCATCGTCGTCGTCGTCGTCGTCGTCGTCAATCACCGTCGCCGGTCGTCGTCGCCGATCGTCGATCGCCCTCGAGCCTCCTCCTCTCTCCCCCCCTCCTCCACTCCACTCCTCCTCCCCGCCTCCTCCTCCTTCTCCTCTCCTTCTCCTCCTCCTCCTCCTCCTCCTCCTCCTCCTTCGCCCTTTCCGTCTCCGCCGCGCGGGAGAAATCCAACAACATCTCGCGCAAATCAACGAACTATGGCCTTGTGGGCTTTTTCGAAGGTCCATTTGGGGCCTTCTGGGGCCGTCTTAGGGCTCTCTTGGGCGTCCTGGGAACCAGGAAATCATGTTCCCGGAAAGGCTTCTGGGAATATGATTTCGAACGGGGCCCTCTTCGGCCTCCCTGAGGCCGTGTTGGGAGCCTCCTGGGCCAACTTTGGGGCCTCTTGGGCCGTCTTGGGGGTTCCGTAAGCCTCACAGGGCGACCCTTTTGGGCCGTCTTGGGCCCTCTTGGGTCTCTCTTGGGCTGTCTTGGGGCTCGGGGGCGTCTGGGGCACTGCGAGGACCAAGCAAGCAAGTATGCTGAAAACGTACGTTGTACAACGGGAATGGGCTGATTTTTGCCTCTTGAAGGCCCTTTTCGGCCAGCTTCAAACCATCTCGGGCCCTCTTGAGGCGCTCTTGGACGTCTTGGGGCCCTCTTGGGCCTCGCTGAGGCTGTCGGACAGCGTCGCCGCCGTCGGCGTGGCCGTCGTCGTCGTCGCCGTCGTTCGTCGATCGGCGACGCCGACTGTTGTCATCGTCGTCTATCGTCGTCTTCGTCGTCGGTCGTCGACCGTCGTCGTCGTCAATGACCGTCGCTGGTCGTCGTCGCCGATCGTCGATCGCCCTCGAGCCTCCTCCTCTCTCCCCCCCTCCTCCTCCCCGCCTCCTCCTCCTTCTCCTCTTCCTTCTCCTCCTCCTCCTCCTCCTCCTCCTTCGCCCTTTCCGTCTCCGCCGCGCGGAAGAAATCCAGCGGCATCTCGCGCAAATCAACGAACTATGGCCCTCCGGGCCTTTTTTGAAGGTCCTTTTAGGGCCCTTCTGGGGCCGTCCTGGGCCCCCCAGTAGACGCGCAGCGCAACTTGTTTTTTAAGGGTCCTGGTTCAACGCAATTCAACGTACTTGACATAGCGCATACACGCGTTAACATATGCGCATCGTATGATGATGACGTTTTGACATGTAAAGAACGGTCGAACGTAACATGTGGACTTAACATTATTTGTCACGTAAATAAGACAACTTAAAAACACGAAAACAAATAACACCATTTTCCAACATATTATGATTTATGATTCTGGTGTTCGGGGCTTCTACCTTATAACATACTAGCATGTTTCACTGCAGATATCTGTCGTTTGGATTCCAGGTCTTGCGTTGGGCGGGGGGATCATCACGCGCCGTTGGCCCGACAAGGGTCGGCGAATTTACACTAACTAGCCGAGGCCCCAATGAAGCATTGTCCGTTCCATTGATGTTTTGGTTCGGGCCGTTTGGCGCACCTTGCGCCCAGTGAAGACATGTATCCCAGCAAAGGTCAGGCCCCGCGGCCCTCGCCCCGCGCGCGCGCAGCGCCCTATGACTGTGCAGTTCGACCCAAACGTGCTTCTGAAGTCGTGGGGCGCTTTGGCCAGGCTTCGCAAGCCAGGGTTCTCGTTCGATGGAGCATCTTATGCTGCGCTAGGTCGGTCTTTGAATCCCGCGCCAGAATCACTTGCGAAGCACGCTCGACCTTTGTCTGTTTTGATTGACGTGGCTCCCACGGGCTTCCCTTCACACCCATGCTTGGCAACTACGTTCTCGCTGCTGCACTACAAGCACCAGATTTTCGGTCCCGACTTGTCCCCGAGCGCCTTGGCGAGCACGTGCGCGGGTGCTGCAGACTCTTGGAGGATAATGTGTAAGCACCTTTATACCATGAAGAAGGGCGGATTCTCGGCGGACGTGCCTGCTGATGTGCAGGCGCTCTTGGACAATATCGAGCTGCCCAAGCAAGAGCTCGGCGTGCCTGCGGATGACGGGGACGCAGCTGGAGGGCCCCCGATCCAGGCGTCGGACGCCGCAGGCCTCTTCCCCGGCGTGCCCGAAGAGACAGAGGTGAAGGCTCCGCCGAACGACGTGGCACATGGAGTCGGCACTCTTGGAACCGCGGAGGTGGACGACGACTACGGGTCCGACGACTGCGTAACCATCGTTGGCGAGGTGCGCAATTGTCCTGAATGCACGCGGGCGGCCAAATCCACGGCGTCAGGCTCTACCGAGGTTCAGGTCGAGATCCCGTCGGCGAAGCGCGGCGGCCAGAGGCTCGAGACAGTGCCCCACGAGGAGGTTGGAGCGAAGGGCACGTTCGCCAAGCGGCGCGTCAGCGTCAAGCGCCCAGTCCCCGAGTTCGACGCGATCGAGCCGCCCGAACAGCCAGATGCCAAGAAGCTGCGCGCCAAGGATTCGAAGGCCCCCACCGATAAGGTCAAGGATGTGATCAAGCCGCCTGTATAGATGGTCGTGCGGGCCCCGTCCAAGACGCGCACTGCCGAGGCCTACTTGATGCAGTCAGGCACGAAAGGCTACGTCGTGGGCCTCTCTGAGAAGGTGGCGGGTTACGAGCAGAGGATCTCAGAGTTAAAGGACGAGATCAACAACGGCCGCATCGCCACCTTCGCCGGGGCGAATGCGCACGTGGGCAGGAAGTGAGGCATGCTGCGAACTTGCGCAGCGTGGTCCAGTTCGTGGAGCCTCTTTTCGAGTGGACGTCCCCTGGCGTCTTGAGTGATAGTTTTATGTTCGACGCATTGGTCCGCGCACAATGCGTCGGGGGTTTGAGCTGTCGCACGCACGTTCCATGTGCATGGGGGCGACGTGCCAGGACCGAGCAAACAACATTCCAGCGCAGCACGCCCTCCTCTCACAAATCTCTCAGCTCAAATTCACGTCCGAACCCCTCCGCCGAACTCAGTATCTAGCATGATGTTGAAACTAACGCTTAACGCATTTTCAGCACCACCATCATCAGCATCATCATCTCCTCCCCCTCCTCCTACTCATCATCATCCTCGTCCTCAACTTCCCGAAAACGCTATGCGTCACGATGACAAGTAAAGTGGCAAAACGCTACGACCCCTTGCCGATGCGAAATTTAGGGGTCATATCACCAGTGCTCCTTGCCAATGCTGACCCATGAAAATTGTCGGCCGCATCTGGAATCCAGGGGCCCTCTGCGAGGGGGATGAGGAGGAGGGGGAGGAGGGGTGGGGGAGGGGGGGGAAGACGAGGATGAGGAGGAGGAGCGGATATGTCAGCACCAAAGATGATGGTGATGATGGTGATGACCACGATGCTACAACCATTTTGGCTCAAACCCGCTTCTTAGTCTGATCGGCCAACCTGCCATCCACGCGTTGCCCAGGCTGCCCCGCAGTGATCATGGCAGAGAGACGGGCCAAAGCTATGAAGGCCGAAGCGGCAACCGATGCCCCGACGTCGACGGCGGCAGTCGCGGCCCCCGTGAAGACAGAGTGCGGCGGTGGAGAGCAGCTGAGCATGGTGCAGTGCCTCTTTGGGCGCTCGCGGGCGGGCCCAGCAGCGCCGCCGCCAAGGGCGGCGCGGTCAACGCAGAAGCAGGCCGTCAAAGCCACAGCTGCCAAGTCGGCTCCTCCATTGCCATCGGCAGGCGCAGCTGCTGAAGTTGGTGTAGCCCCTGCTACGGTGGCTGATCCAACACCTCCCGAACCTGCAGTGGCGTCGCCCGTCGCCGCGCTGAAGTTCAAGGAGGAGGCCAGCAACCCCCCTGGTAGGATGGCAGACGGTTCGTCCTGGCTCGTGAAGGATAAGCCAACCTACAACAAGTTCTACTACCGCCTCGGCAAGAATCAGATCATCGCTGACCTCTGGAAAGATACGCAACTCAAGGGCGAGGGCGAGCAGCGCGCGTTCGTCAACTCCGTGATCCTGTCCAAGGCGGGCACGGTGCCCGCAGCCTTGCTCCAACGAGTCAGGACGATCTCGAACGAGAAGGAGGACAATACCACGGGTGAGTGGATGACGTTCAAGGCTGCAGCCGACAGAGATGGGGAGCAACTCATTCGTGAGTGCATTGCTCATGGGACGGTGGTCACGAGGCCGAACCCCAAGCTCCCTCCCAGCACGCAGATTGAGCACCCCTGGAACTTGGAGGTGGCGTACGTCAAGGAGGGGTGGTCCAAGAAGGTGAAGGTCACGGACGAGGAGCACTCGAAGGAGGAGCAGGACGAGGAGAGTGGGGCGACCAAGGAGTTCTGCGAGAAGTTCTCGACAACGTGGAACGGCGTCGGCACCCAGTCGAGCTCGGCCACGCTGCCCGCGAACCCGCGCGTCGACACCCATCACCCGCAGAAGGACCCGCCCAGCGAGAGGGACAAGGTCGCCGTGGCGAATGCTCGCAAAGTCCACTCGTCATTCGACAAGACGGCGAGGGAGTGGCAGGGGCTGCTGGCGCGGTCCGAGGCGAACCCCTACACCAAGGGGACGAAGTTCCAGACCGACTTGCAGGATAAGTTGGGCGTGTGCAAGCAGCTCGATAGCAAAGTGATGGCCCTCGAGATGCAGTTCCTCAGCCAGATCCCGCTCACCGACAGCGAGATCAAGCAGGCGGGCTTCGACGCGAACGGCCTCGTCGAGGAGATGAAGGAGGGCAAGAAGATCGCAGCTAAGATCAAGGCGTGGCTGGAGGACTGAGCGGCTAGGTCGCTCGAGCGCCCCGTGCGCGAGGACGGGGGCGAAGGGGGGGGGGGGGGCGGATGATGATG